TATATACATAATAATGAGATGTATCATAAGCTAAAGTTATAACCCGTGACATTAGCAAACGTAACGATAATGAATCTACTAGGTAATAAGTAGCTGTGACGCTGCTACTCTTCCCCTTTCTTTTTAACAATTTCAGCCGCAATATTGGCGACTTTTATCGACGTTTGTAAACTGCATACAATGACATCACCGTATAGCTTGCTTTCGATTACAAATAGTTCAGCGGTGCATTGTTTTTTATAGGTATTTTAAGGTGTCCATTCAACGGATGCGTCAGCAGTATATCTACGGGTCCGCACATTTCAGCCGTTAAATATGGTTTTATTTCTATTACTGTATGGTAACCGGATTTAGTAGTACGACTGTAACTCACAAATGATATGACTGACGAATTCTTCCTGATCGTAAGGATAATTTCAATCAACAAATGTAAATAATAATGTATCAACGCCGTCTATCGTTTACAATACGCTCGTCATATGGTAAGGTATATATCTCCTTCACTCGTCCTAGTAGATATACTATCCGTTTTGGCAAGTCCCTAGACGAGAAAATGGCGAGTTCTAGCGATCCAGTATCTAAAATTGTAAATTCCCTGTTACAAAATAAGCAGACTTCTGGTCAAGCTTCTGAGCGTATGACGTCTGTTTTATAAGCCGCCGTTCCTGTTTGAAAAATCTTGTTCGAAAAGTGTTGTTCGCAAGTGGAAACGATGTATAATATTAAGCGATTGATGAGAAAACTCATAAACGTGTAGCTATTTATATTACGAGGGTAAAAGTCTACAGTTCCAAAAATGGGTCCTGCATGTAATTTAATCACAAGCTCAAGCGCTATTCAATTCATTAAATTAGCTGCAGGAATCAATCAAACATGCATAAAAATTTCCTCAAATGGGTTTCAAGTACAGTATACCCTTGTCAACTTTGTTAATCGATAGACGTATCAGCTGATTTAAGTTTGAAATGCTGAATAAAGTGCTGCTGTGTATGTGCCGTGATTTTCTAATAACGAAATCCGGGACATTAGAAAACGTAACGATAATGAATCAGCTAAGATAATAAGTAGTTGTGACGGAAATAGTCAATAAACTGTGATTTAGCAGGAAGAATACTTTGCTTTGGGTAACAGTCGTGCGACACAGAATCGCAAAAATTTAATTGGCGGAATCGACGCTCCAATATCATAGTGAATACGCGGACATCACAAGCCGCAGCTACACCAATTTGTGAGCGACCTCATCAGATTTATTTCGAACGATATATTGTTTTTATCGACTCGTCTTATTAAATAATTCGTCGCCATTCTTATGTTTAATGGTAGGCAGTAATATTCTGGAGAATCGTATACAGTGATTATTCAGCAAACAGATAAAATACGGAATGCTCAGTGAAAACTTGCTATAACAAACGTACGATCCGATACTTTCTCCGTTAAATTAAGAAATTGCTAAGCCAAGCTTTCAACAAAATATATAAGTCTTGGAAAACGAACCGTGTGGGTTGGCCGTGAAAGTTCTCCGCACCGTAAGATAGGCGGTAAAGCAACTTTAAACGGAATTTAAGCTCGCAAGATTTCTTTTCCCAGAATTTTGTTGTAGGTCGAAGGAAATTTGTTCGTATCACAACGCTTCGCTGTAGATCAGAATGATTTCAAAACGATCAGATATGATGGCACATGCAAGATACAGTCTTGAAAATGCAATTTTCGTTCCCAACGCAACCGTTTTTAAAAAAAAAGAAACGTTTTCGTTTTATGAATATATTATACTATATATATAATATATAATATATATATGTTCTGGCCCGATCTGTCTATCAGCCCGATCTGAACCAGGTTGATTGTCATTGGTTGATTTTGTCAAACCCCCTAAATCTATCACCTGACTTTTTCTGATACCCTGCGCAAATACGTGATTATTATTATAATATGAACGTCTAATTATCTTTGTTATTACAAGATGTTGAAGAATGGCAACGAGAGCTACAAGCGACACCTGCTTTCCTACATGCACACCTGCTAGTTGTGCAACCAGACTTACAATGGCATAGGGCATTGACAGCAGCAGAACTCTGTAATCGGGAAGCCGCTGTTCGAGTCTCAGGAATATTTTCAAGTTCTGGAAACTCTGCGCTCACAGTTTCGATTTCACCTGCTAAGTAACACCTATCTAATACTCCAAAAACCAAGCCAAGACGGTAATAACCCCCATCGAGGGTTTCCAGAACTTTACATGGAAGTGACCTCTTATTATTTTTATTTCGATGTTTACGTAATAGTTTTGGCGCTGTTTGAGAAGATTAGGTGATAGATTTAGGGGGGGTTTGACAAAATCAACCAATGACTATCAACCTGGTTCAGATCGGGCTGATGGACAGATCGGGCCAGAACATATATAAGAACGACCCCCACTTTTCGGTCGATCTTTAACCATAAATAGCGGTATTTTTGTCGATCTATAACTATGAATAGTAAGATTGGCGTCCAAATAGAGGTCGAAATCATCCATAAAGGGTCAAGTAGTACTAGAAAAGAAATTTAGCATAACACACATAGGGGGTTCGATCTTATAATAGTGTTAATTAATGTATTTGTCAAGAGCTTTGATGTGTTTGAACAATTCCTCAACATTATCCTGCTGTTGTAGAAAATTATTCACTATTTCTAAGCTTTTTGAAGCCTCTTTAATACTGATTATTTTGGGCTCAGTACTGTCATTGGTTTCCTCGCTATTGCTATCAGGAGGTAAGTCTGACTGTTTCCTATATAATTCAACAAGTTCATTATCATCAGGAATTACATAAACCTCTTGTTCTTTGGGGTTACTTAAAAACTCTTCAATTGACATAGCATCAGGAAGGTCAAGAGATGTAAGTATTTCAGAGAGTTCTCCCAATGTTGGAGTATCAGGTTCATAAGAGCCAGTAGCCATAGTCAGAAGGATCTTTGTATGATTCCAACAGTTCAAATGGTTTCTGGTGTAATTTCATCCCAGCTTTTAATAAATTGTATTGCTTGCAATACATTCATTTTTAAATTCTTTATATCATTTCCCTCTTTGACTTGGGTTAAGATCCATTTAATATGCAAGTTACAATAATGTCTTTTAAATGACATGATAATTCCGACATCCATTGGTTGAATTTTTGAAGTGGTGTTTGGGGGGAGAAAGTGGACATCAGTGTTTGAGAGAACCATACCATCCATTTTATGACTTGGGCAATTGTCAAGTAATAGCAATACCATATTTTCAAGCCATTTCTTTATCAAATTCTTGGAGCCAATCTTGGAACAATATAGTTAACATCCAAGCTTTTGAATTGTTATGATATGTCATTGGGAAATTGGTAAGATTGACATTAGTTAAAGCAGCACGGCTTTGCAAACTTCCAATAATTAATGGGTTTAGTTTATGGGATCCATCAGCATTTGTGCACAAAACAATACTGAGTCTTTCTTTATCTTTCTTATGGCCTGAAAGTCTCTGAGTGGCTAATGATCTGTCTGGCTCTAATCTGTAGAATAGACCAGTCTCATCCATATTATATATTCTTTCAAGTGGATAATTTTCACATTTACTTTTTAACAATGGCAAGGCATCAGCCATAGCCCTAAATTGACTGATGACACTTCCCCATGAAGCTGTTGTTGACAGATTCCATTATGCTCTTTAAATTTCTGGAGCCACCCAGCAGAAAACTTTGATGTTCCATCTGGAACTTCCAAGCCAACTGCCAATAGTTTTGCCTTTTCGATTAAAATAGCTTTGCTTAAGATTGCTTTATCTTGGTAGGTTAAAATGAATTCTCTAAGGGCAAGTTCGAGTTCTAGTTCAGGCACTGTCACAGATTTATGTCTTTTGGCATTAGGCCATATAATTTCAGTGTTAAGGATGTCTTCACTTTTTTGTAAAATTCTTGTTACTGTCAATTCATCCACTCTAACAGCCCATTGTTTTTCAATCCAATTGACATACTCTTTCCTGGTCATTTTACTTTGGTTTCGAGCATATAAGCAAAGTTCATGTTTTTGGGAATCAGATAAAGTTTTACTTTTGGAGGCATGGTTATAGATAATTGTTGTGATAAGAGAATATGAGGATTAACACTTTGTTTATTCAAAGAGTAATAGGTTTAATTAACTTTCTTGATTCTATCATACTGTTTATATAGCTAACATCTATACCCTGCATTGCAACACAACCTTATATTTGATTAAAAAGAAAACATATGAAAAAGAAAGGTTTCTTTGTAACTGTTCTAAACAATAATTTATTATGTTCGCTGGTTAATCCACATAATTCTTTATGACATAAGATTCTTGTTTGCTCAACTAAAAGTAAACCTTTGTTAATATCTTGGTTGTTCATTGTTGGATATTAATTTCAATAAAAATGTGATGATAATTTAGAATGCACAAGTGATCTCTTCATTATTATTCAGTCTTTGTTTGTAATCATGTGCACAGAAATTTCTTTATTTGGTCTTTGTTTATAATCATGCACACAGAAATTTCTTTATTTGGTCTTTGTCTATAATTGTGGGTGTAATTTTTTAGTGTAACACTACTGATATCACATGAAAGTCACGAGCGTGCATTTAGAGAGGGAGGTTTACCTATAGTGGGGATTCGAAAAAACCGTGCAGTGCAGAATATGGAGGGTGTGCATTTACATCTAACTCCCAAGCTCAGGAATGAGAGGTAGCGTGCATTTATGGAGGGTTCACTGTTTCTTAAGTCATGATGAAAAGAAGTCCTTGTTATACTAATACAGAAAAATGTATGATGAAGCTATCAAGGTTTTGAAGAAATCTAAAGACACTACTATTTCAACAGCAAAACACCATTATTGGGTACTATCAATATGTTCTTTGATCGACCTGCCTGCATGGATGCATCACTTTGGCCAGAAGTTCAGAATTACTGGAAATATAGAAATATGGGAATATGTCAACACACTTCCAGTTAAATACATTATATACACTTTTACATTAACAAGCTTAATAAACATTTTTTGAGTTTGCTACATCAGTTTCCAGATAAAACGGATTGTTACAATATAATGGATTTTATGTCTGCACTGAGAAATCCATTATATTATATATTTGTATTGACTTTCACTGTGTACCATGGTCTTTTACATTACATGAGCTTCAAAATGGTGGGGTGGTACTGTTACGGTCGGCGTATTTAATTAGGGAGATTTGTGGGAGAGCGAACTGTAGGCGGTTCGGCCGACAGGGGGA